TTTTTTAAATGCAAGAATTTACAGGAATTTAATATGCTATAATGAAGAACTCCCCCAAAAGATGATGTAGATCCAACGTATGAGAGAAGGATTAAAGCAAATTAGAGTGTTCTTAATATGATCCGTGTCCTTACTAGTACTAATTTTTCAGGGAGTAGTGGTTAAATTTATTTTGAATTAATTTTTCCTAAATGATTTTTAATATGCTATTTTTTTGGTAAAACTACAAATGGCTTCCTGAAACACTATGAGTGTGTTATGGTTTATTTTGTTTTGGTTTTTTCTCAGCTAGTGTGCCATTACCTGATGAAAGAAATGATACCCTTGAATTTGAAAATCAGCAACGTCTCATTAAGACATTGGAAACTATCACAAATCAACTGAAAAGGACCCTCAATGAAGAGCCCATGTATTCCTTTCAGCTCGCATCTGAAGTGCTTGTAGCAGACAGCAATTCATTAGAAACAGAAAAGGCTTTTCTTTTCTGCAGACCAGGCTCAGTGCTAAGAGGGCGGATGTGTGGTAAGACTTTTCCCTGTGATCAAAAATATTTACTGCATAGTGGGTCAAATGAAATGGGTAGAGCCATTTTACAACTTGCCTTTGTGCATTCGTTCCAGGTATTCATGCAAAATTCCTGGAACTGGGTAATTTGTAAAGAAACAGTATTTATTGCTTACAGTTTCAGAGGCTGGAAAATCCAAATCCAGGGAACACATCTGGTGAGGGCTTTATTTTTGCTGGTGACTCTATTCAGTGGCTCAGGGTGTCACACGGCAGATGGCAGAGCAAGAGAGAGACTAGCCTCTTCATGTGCTCTTCTTTTAAAGCCCTCAGAACCACACCCGTGACCACCATTAAACCATCGACATATTAATCCATTTATATGGTCCTCACAATCTAACCGCTTCTGTGTGCTGGACGAGTACCTCTCATATTTAATCCTGTTTAGCATCTCTGTTAGGTACCCTTATTATCAAGCACATTTTACAGATGAGAATACCGAAGCTGGAGATGCTAAGAACTTACCCAGTCTTACGCATTAAGACGGTAAGTAGTGAAGCAAAGATTCCCACCCAAGCAGACACCAGTCTCAACTTTTTTTTTATTGAGGTAAAATTAACATAATATAAAATTAACCATTTTAAGGTGTGCAATTCACTGGCATTAAGTGCATTCACAATGTTGTGCAATCATCACATCAATCTAGTTCTAGAACATTTTCATCATCCCTAAAGGAAACCCTCTGCCTATTAAGCAGTCATTCCCCATTCTCCTTCCCCCAAGCCCCTTAACTTTTAACTCCTATTCTAGATTGCCATGATCTGGATCAATTCCAGCCTGTTTCCCAAAGAAGTTATTGTTTATAGATAACAGAATCTTCTCTAACCAAACTCTGTACACTTAGCTGAACCGAGTGATGTGAGTCTTGTGTTAATCTCTCTGTAGATGTGGACTTTTGTGTCCTGTCTGGAAAAACTTCTTCAATAGTTCTTATTGCTATTATTAGAGCTCCATTGGGTTTTTCACAGTGTGATAAATTCAGCCCACCAAAGGGACCTTGAAATTGTTGTCATTCTGAGCCTGCTCTTGTTTCCTCCCGACCCATGAGTAAATATCAAGAGTCACCTCCACCCGTGGTCTCATTTCTCAGTGTGTTCTTCAGCCTACCTGTGTCAACAACACCTAAAATGCTTGTAAAATGCATCTCGACTTAGGCTCCATCCCAGAACTAATGAACCTGACACTTTGGGGGCAGGGTTTTTGAATCTGCATTTTAAATAAGTATCCCAGTAATCATTACACACTTTAACATCTCAGAATCACCTAGGTAACTACTTTCAAGTGTCTTCTCTGAAAGAATACTAACTTTGATATCATTAGGCTTTTCAGTGAATTTAATATTCCACTATGGTCTCAGAATTTCTGGGCCACTCCAAATCTACCTAATAGGAGACCAAACCTCCAAGGAATAAAGGTTCTAAAATAAGCCTGTTTCCTCAGGACCCTTGAATTCCTGGGACGTGCCTTCAGCAGCAGTAATTCCTGCAGGCGGAGACAAGACTCTGCTAAACTCACCTGTTTTAGTCTCACCACTTGTGCCTGCTTTTGTCTCTAGCAGTGATAATGTAGTGGACAAGCAGTTTCATAAAGGGAAGCACCCAGAAGAATAACTTAGAAAATGTTTTTGATACATTAGTTCCCCTATATATGTAGGGGGTATGTTCCAAGACCCCTAGTGGATGCCTGAAACCCAGGATAGTACCAAACCCCATATATACTATGGTTTTTCCAATAGATATGTATTTATGATCAAGTTTAATTTATAAGGCATAGTAGGACATGAACAACAATAACTAATAATAAAATAGAAC